ACGCGCCACCATGCCCAGCTAATGTTTTGTATTTTTAGTAGAGACGGGGTTTCACCGTGTTGACCAGGATGGTCTCGATCTCTTGACCTCGTGATCCACCCGCCTCAGCCTCCCAAAGCACACCCAGAATTTTTAGAGGTTGATATAGTGCTCAAAATAGCTAAAATGCTTCAGCTTCCAAATGATTTCTCATCTTTATCTTTAGCCATCCTTTCATAGTGTTTTATGTTATAAAGTTTTAAATCCTCTTAGAAATAAGCTGTAAAAAATATAGGCCAGACACGATGGCTCATGCCTGAAATCCCAACACTTTGAGAGGCCAAGGCAGGATTGCTTGAGCCCAGGAGTTTGAGATCAACCTGGACAACACCGGAACTCTACCAAAAAAAAAAGAAAATTAAAAATTAGCCAGGCATGGTGGTTCATAACTATAGTCCCAGCTACTTGGGGGCCTGAGATGGGAGGATTGCTTGAACCTGGGGGCTTGAGACTGCAGTAAGCTGTGACTGTGCCACAACACTCCAATATGGGGGCCAGAGACCTTGTCTCGAAAAATACATATATATGTAAATTAAATTTGTGAGGCTGGGCACAGTGGGTCATGCCTGTAATATCAACACTTGGAGGGGCCAAGGTAGGAGGATCACTTGAGGCCAGGCATTCCTGGGCAACAGACTAAGACTCTCTTAAAAAAAAAAAGTAAAAACAAATAGAACTGTGTAAAGCACCTATGTTTGAAGCTGAAAGTCAAATTTTTAATAAATCACATCAATACTGTGTTGTCTGATGTTACTTAGGAGCCTGGAAATCTAAGGAGATTGAGAGGTTAAATTCCAGTGGAGTCCGGGTGAGGTGGCCCACACCTGTAATCCCAGCACTTTGGGAGGCTGAGGTAGGCGGATCACCTAAGGCCAGAAGTTCAAGATCAGCCTAGCCCATATGGTGAAAACCCGTTTCTACTAAAAATACCAAAAATTAGCTGGGCATCGTGACACATGCCTGTAATCCCAGCTCCTTGGGAGGCTGAGGCAGGAGAATTGCTTGAACCCAGAGGCTGCAGTGAGCTGAGATCATGCCACTGCACTCCAGCCTGGGCAACATCTTCTGTGTAATCAGTTACCTCCTACAACTGTCATTTTTCTGCCTTTTACCATTCAGTCTTTCACTTGCTCCATCCAACCACTCTGGCCTCCTTATACTTCCTGGAACTCTTGACATACATTGTTTCTTTTAAGTTTTTGCTCAAAAGTTACTAAAGAAAGCCCCCCCCCCACCACACTATAAAAATGACACACACACCACCACCTGTCACTTTTTTTTTGTTTGTTTGAGACAAGGTCTTACTCTGTTGCCCAGTGGCACAATCACAACTCACTGCAGCCTTGAAGTCCTGGGCTCAGGTGATTCTCTCACCTCAGCCTCCAGAGTAGCTAGACTACAGACAAGCACCATGCCAAGCAATTTTTTTTTTTTTTTTTTTTAAAGAGACGGGGTTTTGCCATGTTGCCCAGGCTGGTCTTAAACTCCTGGGCTCAAGAGATCCACCCACCTCAGCCTCCCAAGGCGCTGAGATTACAGGCATGAGCAATGCCTGGCCTCACTTGTTCCTCTTTATCCCCCTACCTCTGCTATATTTTTATCTGTAACACCACTGGCTGACACTACAATTTACGTATTTGTCTCCCTCCACTAGGATATAAGCTTATGAAAGCAGAGACTTTTATCTTCCCCTGCTGTATCTCCAGTGGGCAGAACAAAGGCCTGAGTAAAGTTATTAAATAAATGAACTTTGGAGTTTTTAGAGGGAATGACATTCAAAGCATCTGTGACACTTCCAGAGACAACGCTGCACAGTGCTTTCACAGAGCAGTCCCTTAATATTTGTTGAAGTTTATTTGCAAAGAGGTAACCTATTATCTGAATCTGAAATAGGTAGCAATTCAAAATTACTAGCCCATGGGAATTAAAAGCCTGCCTTCTGCTAAGACCCAGGAGTTATGCTCCTAGAATTTTCCCCTAAACTTTGCTTCTGTCCAAAGAGCAGTTACCAATTTATTTCCCACACTTCCCAAACTTCCTAGTTTCTATGACCTAGGTCCTCATCCCTGCCAACAATTCCATTCTACACCCTTGAAAATCCCAGAGTTGAGTGACACGTAGCAGGCATTCAAATTACTGCTAATCTAATGAAGTAAACTGTACCCTACCCCTCGGAATCCTGTTTCCAACACTTTACTCATCTACTTACTTAGATCTTGAAGCAACGAAGGAAGAGGTAATATTAACAGTAAGGTTTCATTTTTAAAAAGTGAAAACAATGTAACCATTTTGATGCGCCCTCGAGCTCTTTAAACTGTAATTCTACTTTATGAAATACACACAAAATAAGAATTGACACAGACTAAGGTATGGGAGTTGAAAAGCCACAGCCAAATTAGCTATGAATCGCCTATTTTGGGGATTAGGTTCACTCAGCTACTTCATAGCCCACTTTCAAATTCGGTCATTTTTCCAGTTGCTCTTTGTTGGAGGGAAAATGTTTCTTAACAAGATTATGAGGACTCCACAAAAGCCGTAAGGTGGGAGGAATTGGGATCTGAAGGTCTTTGGCAAGCACGTCCACTGCGGCTGCTCGAGGCAAAGCAACGGAAGTTGGAGAGTTTGCAACAGCTGCAAGAGTTTCACTCCCGGTGCGGAGAAGGGTAGCGTAGCTAGGCTACCCCATCCAGGCGGCGTCCAGCAGCCAGGGCCCTGCCGAACCCCGAAGCCCACCTCGCTGGACCCAGGACGGCTCCCACCTGTTTCCCCTCCTTCCCCACGCTACGGCCCGCTGGGGAACGAGGCAGCGCCAGGGAGCAAGATGAGGGCACAAGGTACCCTCTCCTAGCCCAGGCTCACCCTTGGTCAGCGTGTCCAGCACCCCAGACTTCTCCAAGTACCTCCGGAACTGCTCACGCTTCGAGTCGGCGGCCTGAGGAGACACCGGGGGTCAGTGGCCAGAGCCTGGGGGCCGAGCAGGAAGAAGGCGCTGGGAGTCCGGCAACCCCGCTACCTCCGGCCCACCCTGCGCCCAAACCTGCGCGCGCGACCCCACTCCCACCCAGAGCCGACTAGCGGCTTGCTATCGCCCGCATGCCCCCAGCCACGCCGCGCCCCCCTCACTTTGTAATGGGCCATAGTGACAGCGGCAGCGGCGTAGCTGGCGCCGGAGACCGCGACTGGCGGGCTGGGAGCAGCACTGCTCATGCGCGGAAGGGGGCGCGCGCCTGCGCACTTGCGAACCACGGGCCGGCATCGCCGGGGTGTGGCCTGTTTTCATGGCTACCAGGACGCTGTGCATCCTCCGTAGCAGGCTGAGCCAAGGGAGGCTGCGTATGCCCGCCCCTCTGGCTGTTGGAGCCGCAACTCTTCCTCTTCCGGTCGCCGTACCTTTCGTTTTGCTTGCAAAAGGCGAGATTTTTGTAGCTCTGTCCAGGTGGTCGGCCTGGCGTCCGGAGGCGGTGCCCGGGAGCATTGGGACTATTGCGGGAGGAAGGATATCCGCACGGTGGTAGCGAACGCGTCTTTCTCATCTGGGACCTCTGAAGTTGTGGTGACCCATAGGTGCTGGGCTTCTTGGCTCTCGTCCTGAGAAAGTGCTCACAACTTTGCAGTAGCTGAGGAGGGTGTTTAGAATCGTATATTTTGGCCTCAGCTTTTATCTTTAGAGTCACCTTGAGTTGTGGCTGACTTCATGCGGGCCTCTGAGCAGTAACGAGCTGACAGTAGTTTTTGAGCGTTTACTGTGTGCCAGGCACTGTAGAAAACACAGGTATTTTAAATTTTAATTCTCACAACACCCCTGTAGTGTGGATACTGTTAATAAAGTGGAGAGGTTAGATGTCCAGTGAGTAGAGCCGAGTCCAATCCGGGCAGTGAATCACGATGCTATCAACTGGTGAAAGAAAGCCACAGATCTTTTAAAGATTTTATTTACTAGGTAGCAACATGTGATTATACTCAAGATACATCAGGATCCAATCTAGAAGGAAACTACGTGATTGTGTTCTAGGGGCAAACAAAATTAACCCAGTGTTCAAAGATACAAGGATTCATAACTAAAAGGTGGAATTATATAGATCAAGAGCCATTTCCTAAGGCTGTGGTCTCTTCAAAGAGAAAACCTGATCAAACCATTTAGCCTCAATTCTGAACATAAGATTTTCCCAAAATCAGTTACACACATTCGAAAGGACATCATTAAAAAATCCGGATTTGGCAGCTTTATGTCTGAATTTAGAAGTGTTTCTTCACAATCTAAAATCAGCTGTTTTTCCATTGCTTAAATGAGTTTGCAGTTGTCTCTCTTAACAGCTGGTCTTTAGAGCGGCGCTTATCTATTTTGTCTGTGCCCCGCCACCACTAGGCTACTTCTCTGATAATATATAAAATGTCTAAAAGCCAACCGCTGTTCAGATCTGAAGATCTGTGGGAACCCGCCTACTAATGAGATCGTTCCTTAGGGACACTACGTGATTTGGAGGACAAACACTAGGATTATTACAGGTTCTGACCAACCCTGGCTCAAAGGACAGCTCTCCCAAAGAATCAGCAATATTTGGAATGTCAATTGATTGAGACTCTCCTTGTGAAGGAGAAAGGGTTCTGACTGTGCCCTCTCTGAACTGGCCTTTGAAGTTACCTTTAGGAGGTGACCCCCAGTTTTCATCTTCTGTAGAGAAAGCCCATGTAGCCCTAAGCCACCGTGGTTTCCGGTCGCAGTTAGCTGGCGAGGAAAAAGCTGTTTGGGGTGACTGCCTCCTGTAGTTCTCTCCATCCATAGCAACACCTGGAATAGAACAGTGACCTCTAGAGTGGTGGTTCTTTTTGCTGTCTTTGCCTTTGGTTTCTCTTTTTTCCCTTAACTGGTTACCATTAACTTCTTTTCCAAATATTTTATGAGTGTCTTTGTTATTATTTGAAGTGATGTGTTGAAAATGACTACAGCTAGTACTAAGTGTGCAAATCTCATTAGAAAGTATAGTTTCCTGTTCATCCAAAATGCATTTCTCATGATTTACACTGTGATTGTCAGGATTTGGCTGAAACACACAAGATGAATTTAAACGAGGGTACACTGCAGTGTGTGTTTGCTTTTCCACTAACAGATTATAATCAGGGGCAGAAGGGAGTCGCTTCAGTGAATTTGCAGACGTGCTCTGATATTTGGCTACATTCTCTTTTGCTTTGTTTGCATAGAATTCATTATATTCCTTCTTCAACTTGTATTTTCTCGAAAGCCCTCTTTTAATCTTTTTAAAACCTAGGTGGAAAATTTCTAGAATGTTTAAGAAAAGTGAAATGGTGGCTATAGATTGCATAAATAATAGGAATATTGTCTTTTCTGTTGGTCTTGAGACAAAACAATCGATTATATTTGGACACGGGTGGCCATGGCACTTAAATAGAGGCTCTAAGTGAAATCCATATAAAAGGTACTGTCCAATCATGAACCCAACCTCAACCACAGAGCGAGTGAAAATGTGTATCACATAAGTGCAAAGCAAGGTTCCTCTGAGCGGAGCTTTATTTAGTTTCCTTTTCTCCAGCTGACAAAGCTCTTGCTCCAGTCTCCTCCGATCCCTAGGCATTTCAAACTCCACCTCCTCCAATTCTACTCTTAACTGAGCTTTCATCCTTTGCCTCTCTTTCTCTAGAACTCTCAGTCGGTACAATGCATGGCCCATGTAGACCAGGGATGGTGAAGACACAAGTATCACCTGCAGAACCCAGTATCTAATGAGGGAAATAGGAAAGGCCTGGTCGTAGCACACATTTCTGCAGCCTGGTTGTTCTGTATTGCAGATGAAGCCAGACTGCTCATCATTCCAGACATCTTCAGCTGCTACACCCAGAACAAGCATTCGAAAGATGAACAGGATGGTGAGCCAGATCTTTCCAATCATGGTGGAGTGGATGTGAACTTCTTCCAGAGTATCTCCAAGGAGATTCCAGTCCCCCATGTTTATTTAGTTAGCCATTGTAGCTCTGATCCCCATCAAATAAGAGGCAGATGAATTCTTCCATTCTGAAGGGAGCACTATTTCTTAAAGCAAACCTATGGTGAAAATATAACAATGCATCACTTTTTCCATATGCTGGTTGCTTTGCTTCTTCCCTAGATAGCAGTAGGGTTTGTTTGTTGAGATAGAGTCTCCCTGTGTTGCCCAGGCTGGAGTACAGTGTTGCAACCACAGCTCACTGCGGCCTCGACCTTCCAGGCTGAAGCGATCCTCTCACCTCAGCCTCTCGAATAGCTGGGACTACAGGTATGTGCCACTACAACCAGATAATTTTTTTTATTTTTTGTAGAGACAGGGTCATACTATATTGCTGCAGCTAGTCTTAAACTCCTAGACTCAAGTGATCCTCCTGCCTTGACCTTGTGATCCGCCCGCCTCAGCCGCCTAAAGTGTGGGCATTACAGGTATGGGCCGCCACACCTGGCCAAAGTGTTAATCTGTTACCAATAATATATTTAGATGTCAGGAATTTAAAATGACTTATATTTAGACATCATAATACAATGAAAAAAAATGATACCTGGAGGAGGAGTGTATATATTCTCTATTAAGAATATAGGCCGAGGCTGGGCACGGTGGCTCACACCTGAAATCCCAGCACTTTGGGAGGCCGAGGGGGGTGGATCACGAGGTCAAGAGAACAAGACCATTCTGGCCAACATGGTGAAACCTCATCTCTACTAAAAGTACAAAAATTAGCTGGACGTGGTGGCGTTCGCCTGTACTCCCAGCTACTCGGGAGGCTGAGGCAGGAGAATTGCTTGAACCCAGGAGGCGGAGGTTACAGTGAGCTGAGATTGCGCCACTGCACTCCAGGCTGGCAACAGAGCAAGACTGTCCCCGACAGAAAGAATGTAATTTTTAGCTGTGCACATTGGCCCACTCCTGTAATCCCGGCACTTTGGGAGGCAGAGGTAGACAGATCATTTGAGATCAGGAGTTCGAGACCAGCTTGACCAATGTGGTGAAACCACACCACTACTAAAAATACAAAAATTAGCTAGGAGTGGTGGTGGGTGCCTGTAGTCCCAACTACTCAGGAGGCTGAGGCAGGAGAATCACTTGAACCTGGGAGGCAGAGGTTGCAGTGAGCCGAGATCACATCACTGCCCTCCAGACTGGGCAACAGAGCAAGATACTGTCTCAAAAAAAAAAAAAAATATATATATATACACACACACACATATATATACACATGTATATATAATTGTAGGCTATGTACATTGGCTCATGCCTATAATCCCAGCACTTTGAGCCAATGTACAGATCACCTGAGGTCAGTAGTTCAAGACCAGCCTGGCCAACGTGGTAAAACCTCGTCTCTACTAAAAATACAAAAATTAGCCAGATGTGGTGGCAGGTGCCTGTAATCCCAGCTACTCTCAAGGCTGAGGCAGGAGAATCACTTGAACCTGGGAGGCAGAGGTTGCAGTGAGCGGAGATTGTGCCACTGCACTCCAGCCTAGGCAAAAGAACAAGACCCAATCTCAAAAAATGTATATATGTATACATATATATGTGTATATGTATAAGTATACGTATACATATATACATACATACATATATGTACACACACACATATATATATATATATAATTGCAGGCTGACCACAGTGGCTCATGCCTGTGATCCTAGCATTTTGGGAGGCTGAGGTGAGAGAATTGCTTGAGGCTAAGAGTTCAAGAGTTCAAGTGGCACAATCTTGGCTCACTGCAACCTCTACCTGCTGGGTTCAAGCAGTTTCCTGCCTCAGCCTCCCTGGTAGCTGGGATTACAGGCGTGTGCCATCACACCTAGTTAATTTTTGTATTTTTAATAGAGATGAGGTTTCACCACGTTGGCCAGGCTGGTCTCCAACTCCTTACCTCAGTTGATCCACCTGTCTCAGCCTCCCAGAGTGCTGTGATTATGGGCACAAGCCACGCCTGGCCTATTGGTTTTTAACTGAGAACTTTTGGAAAGGTTTCTAAAACTACTGACTTGATCTTAACCTTATTCATTAAGATTATTTGATATAAAAGTTATAAGCAAAGTCAATGATTTTTTTTTTTTTTTCAGATAGAGTCTCACTCTGTCCCCCAGGCTGGAATGCAGTGGTGCAATGTTGGCTCACTGCAACTTCCACCTCCCAGGTTCAAGCAATTCTCCTGCCTCAGCCTTCTCAGTAGCTGGGATTACAGGCATGGCCACCACGCCCGGCTAATTTTTGTATTTTTAGTAGAGACGGGGTTTCACCATGTTGGCCAGGTTGGTCTCGATCTCCTGACCTCATGATCCACCTGCCTCCCAAAGTGCAGGGATTACAGTTGTGAGCCACGGTGCCTGACCAAAAAGTGAGTGATTTTTAAATCTCATTTATACACACAGGAAAATGAATATGCTTCATTTGATAATTCAGTAAGATACAGCATTTAATGAAACCAGAGGAAATAGATCTGGCTCTCATAGGAATTTAGATTAGTTTTTTCATCCAAATTGAAATGAATTTTGTTTTTCCTGCAGTTGGTGAGCATTTTCAGAAATTCATCTCAGTAATATATATGAATATGTATAAAGTTCTTATTATGCTTTGCTACGACAAATTTTTATAATTTTTTTTTTTTTTAAGACAGAGTCTCACTCTGTTGCCCAGACTGGAGTGCAGTGGTAGAATCTTGACTGGCTGCAACCTCTGCCTCCCAGGTTCAAGTAATTCTCTTGCCTCAGCCTCCTGAGTAGCTGGGACTACAGGCACGCGCCACCATGCTCGGCTAATTTTTGTATTGTTAGTAGAGACAGGCTTCACCACGTTGGCCAGGCTGGTCTTGAACTCCTGACCTCAGGGGATCCACCCGCCTCGGCCTCCCAAAGTGCTGGGATTACAGGCATGAGCCGCTATGCCCAACCTGGAGTTCATTTTAACATAACAACAATTTACAAAATTTGGGCTGCAAGTGGTGTCTCATGCCTGTAATCCCAGCACTTTGGGAGGATGAGGGGGGTAGATCACCTGAGGTCAGGAGTTCAAGACAAGTCTGGTCAACATAGTGAAACCCCATCTCTACTAAAAATACAAAAATTAGCCAGGTGTGGTGGTGGACACCTGTAGTCCCAGCTACTCAGGAGGCCAAGACAGGAGAATAGCTTGAACACGGGAGATGGAGGTTGCAGTGAGCCAAGATTTCGCCTTTGTACTCCAGCCTGGGTGACAGAGCAAGACTCTTATCTTGAATAATATAATAATGGCATACTCTGACCCAGCAACCCAAAGCACTTTAAAATGTAAGCAAGTTAAGTATCATTTATGGTTCATAAATAATAATAATACATGTAAGCAAAGATGTAATTCATGTTGTCGTAAGCTAAAAACATAATTATCAATACAAGAAAAACTGGTTAAATAATGGAATACATCCACAATGTGATACTGTGCAACCAGTAGAAGTGATAAACATACACAAAAAGACATTTGATACTTCATTTCAGTGAAATTGATGTTATAAAATAGAATAATATGGCCCCATGAGTATAAATTTAGTTAAATTTACAGATGTATACAAAATAGTCTAGAAGGATATTCATGAAAATATTAACTGTGATTAGCTCTGTATGTTGGGATTACAAATTCCTTAATGTGTTGTAATTGTATGTATTTTAATTTTTTACTATGAACATTTTACTTTTACAATTATAAAAAGAAATAAAAGATTTTTTTCGTAAAGGACAACACCATAGTATTTCCTGAAAGGAGCAGTATTATTTAGCTACAAATTATAGCATTCATAGCAAATGACATAAAAACTAGTATACATAGATAAAGTACCATAGAATTCAAAAGCAAAAGATAAAAACATTTCAAACAACTCTTAATAAGCTAAAACAGAGAGATTAACACAAACCTTTCTTAGTTTAGGTAAATCTGAGAAGCAAACCATGTTTAGAAGTTACAGCATGGCCATCTTCAATTTATTTTCTGAGTTTGTTCCTTTGCAGGTATAGAGCAGATTCAGTTCAGTTCAGTGTAGTGAGGTAGTCATCCACCAACTAAAATCCATTTCCCTTTCTGCTCCTCCTTGCTTCTGAAACAGCACTGTCCAATAGAACTTTCTGCAACAATGGAAATATTCTATCTGTGCTATCCAATCAGGTAGCCAATGGCCACATGTAGCTATTGAACACTTGAAATACTGTTTGTGTATCAGAGCAATTGAAGTTTTAATTTTAAATAACTTTAATAAAAATTTAAAGAGCTACACTTACCTAGTGGCCGCTTTATTGGACAGCACAGATAAAGAATGCTTCTAATATTCCTAATAACACACTGTAGTCTAGAAGACTAAAGTTATAAGCCCCAAATTAAGCTGAGTGAATGATTCCTCTATATTGCAGAGATGTCAAATTTAAAATGACAGGAGGTATTTGTGTACTGTTTGTACTGTGACTTTTGCCATTGGGGAAATCCAATAAACTGTCATTGTTTTTGTGTAATAAACCATGTTTCTAGAACTAAAAAAGTCTTTCTTATTAGATAATAGCTTCTTGGTCATCTGCCTTAATAAATGGGTCATGTCCGATTTCATAGGTAAATCCTGATTCTCATGTTCTGATATTAACAATTACATTGTATTTTAGGTCATTAAAGCTCTCTTCAGAGCTAGTGATCTGGCGGGTATGTGTTATCTGAATTACATATTATGTGTAACACATAAATTATCAATAAACTTGAAAATTGCTCAACCTTGTAGTCAGAGAATACACATTTAAGTGAAATATTACTTTTTAACTATCAAAATGCAAAAATTTTAAGATTTATAATACCTTCTTTTGGCAAAGTAGGGAGACACCATTACTCTCATATCCTGTAGATAATAATATAAATGGATACAGCTATTTAAAAGGCAGTTGAAGCCTATCAAAATTAGTCTAGCATTTCTGCTTGTGGATACTTGAAACATTCATTCAACATACACACTCAGAGACACACTGCATGTGCTAGGATGTTCACATAGCACTGTTGGTAATTATACAAAATCAGCAACAATTTGGGTGTTCAACAGAGGAATGGTTAACTGTGGTACATCTATATTATTCAGAGAATAAAGAGCACTATGAACTAATAGAGAAAGGTCCCTAGGTAATGTTGTAAAGCAGGATTTTACCCTGTTAAAATCTATATTTGATAAAAAAAAATCTGATTAAAAATACTCTGACTGGGCGTGGAGAATCACATCTATAATCCTAGCACTTTGGGAGGCCGAAACAACGTGGATCACCTGAAGTCAGGAGTTCAAGACCAGCCTAGCCAACATGGTGAAACCTGTCTCTATTAAAAATACCAAAAATTAGCTGGGCTTGGTGGCACATGCCTGTAATCCCAGCTACCCTGGAGGCTAAGGCAGAAGAATCACTTGAACCTAGAAGGCAGAGGTTGCAGTGAGCCAAGATAGCACCACTGCACTCCAGGCTGGGTGACAGAGCGAGATCCTGCCTCAAGAAAAAAAAAATATATATATACTTTTATATTTATATATACATGTTTATATATATAATTTTATATGTATACTTTTATATATATACATATGTGTGTATATATATACACACACATATATAAAGCTAAAATAGATTAACACAAACTTTTCCTAGTTTCGATAAATCTGAGAAGCAAATCATGCTTAGGGGAAGTTATACCATGGACACCTCTAATTTGTTCTTTGAATTTGTCCCTTTGGGGGTGTAGAGCAGATTCAGTGCAGTTCAAAACAGTGGATGAATTGGCCATCAACTTAAATCTATTTCCCTTTCTGCTCATCCTATATAGAAAAAGGTCTGCAAGGATACACACCATACTGTTGTGACCACTGATGATGGTCATCACTAGGGGAAAACAGAAGGTTTGAAGTGAGAAGGTAAAAGATTTTTTTTTAAGGCGGAGTCTCACTCTGTCACCCAGGCTGGAGGGCAGTGGCATGATCATAGCTCACTGTAATCTTGAACTCCTGGGTTCCAGTGATCCTCCCACCTCAGCCTCTGGAGTAGCTAGAACTACAGGCAAGCACCACCACACCTGGCTATTTTTTATTTTTTATAGAGTCCTTGAATGTTACCCAGGCTGTTCTCAAACTCCTAGGCTCAAGCAGTCCTTCCACCTTGGCCTCCCAAAGTGCTGAGATTATAGGCATGAGTCACTGCACCTGGCTGAGATTTTATCTTTTAACTTCTTGTTTGAATCTTTCTTTAACCAAGAACACACTCATAAGGCCAGGCAGGCATGGCGGCTCACACCTGTAATCCCCACACTTTGGGAGGTCGAGGTGGGCGGATCACTTGAGGTCAGGAGTCCAAGACCATCCTGGCCAAATGGTGAAATGCCATCTGTACAAAAAATATATAAATTAGCCAAGCTTGGTGGTGGGCACCTGTTATCACAGCTACTCAGGAGGCTGAGACAGGAGAATTGCTTGAACCTGGGAGGCGGAGGTTGCAGTGAACCAAGATCGTGCCACTGCATCCAGCCTGGGCAACAGAGCAAGACTTCATGTAAAAATAAAATAAAAAATAGCCAGGTGTGGTGGCATGCACCTGTAATCCCAGCTACTGGAAAGGCTTAGGTAAGAGAATCGCTTGAACTCAGGAGGCAAAGATTGCAATAAGCCAAGATCAGGCCACTGCACTCTAGCCTGGGAGACAGAGCGAGACTCCATCTCAATAAATAAATAAATAACACTCATATTCCCATGTTCATACTTAACTTTTTAAACAAATTTCTGATCAGTTTTTCTAAAAATACTAAAGTAAATTTTCTCACCATATCTAAGTGTATGCCCCTTCCAGAATACAGTAATGTGTTTAGATGGATGTTTAATAAACATGTTGATGACAAAAGAAAAAATTATATTTCCTGTATTCAGATGACTTAAAACTACCATTTCTAAAGCATAATAAACCACAGTCTGAATTCTATAGAGGAAAAGGACACATGCTTCTCAGCTTTTGGGTATGACATTTTAGCTTTTGCAAATAAATTCCTACCCACTCTTAGGGGAACCATGAGCCACACGAAGGATGACAGTCTGATCACAGATGAGAATCTGAAGTCTAGGTATATAGTGTGCCCCAGAAAGACAGTGCCAGTTTCCTTGGGATCTTAGATACGGTATCAGAATCTTAAACTAGCAGTCCAGAAAATCTGCAGCCTTCTTCTGTGAGGTATTTCCGCCGTTCATGATGTACCCCGCATAGGCATTTGTTCCTGGACTCCTGTGATATTCTTATTTTTCAGTATTTGAGGAGCACAGCATTGTGGGACCTATAGGGGAGACTACAGGTTTCCAAGTCATTTTCTGTGTTTAAATTCTGCTCCTCTCAGACAAGTACTTAATTCTTTAAGGGTTTCTTTAAGGGATTAAGATTACTCTAAGATGCAGAGTAATATCTACCTTTCCGGGTGGTGGACAACATTATCGATAAAGTATATGAAACGCCTCAAACAGTAGTGATCTATCTCCTCAAACAGTGATCTATTTTAAAGTGATTATCAGGAGTCTGACACGTATAAAAAAGTTTTTATTATCAGCATTGTACAGTTTTCATAGATTTTATCAAGCGTTCTCCAAAATATATCCTCCAAGAGAGTAAGTCTGTTTTATAGGATACCATATGCCTGAGGAAGACCCAATCTCTAGGGTGTTTTTCTGTTTTGTTTTTGTTTTTTTGAGACGGAGTGTCACTGTGTCACCTAGGCTGGAGTGCAGTGATGTGATCTCAGCTCACTGCAACGTTTGCCTCCCGGGTTCAAGCAATTCTCCTGCCTCAGCCTCCCAAGTAGCTGGAACTACAGGCACACGCCATCACGCCCAGCTAACTTTTGTTATTTTTTTATATTCATTTATTTATCTATTTATTTTTGAGATGAAGTTTTACCCTGTTGCCCAGGCTGGAGTGCAACGGGGTAATCTCAGCTCACTGCAACCTCTGCCTCCCAGGTTCAAGCGATTCTCCTGCCTCAGCCTCCCAAGTAGCTGGGATTATAGGCACGTGCCACCACGCCCGGCTAATTTTGTATTTTTATTACAGGTGGGGGTTTCTCCAGGTTGGTCAGGCTGGTCTTGAACTCCCAACCTCACGTGATCCACCCACCTCGGCCTCCCAAAGTACTGGGATTAAAGGCGTGAGCCACCGCGGCTGGCCCCCATCTCTAGTTTTTACTACCCTTCTTTTCTCTCTTCTTCCCTTTCTACGTTCAGAAGCCCCTTCCTTAAATCCTAAGATCCTTTTGTAGGCAATCCTTGAAACTAATTAATTTAATGCTGTTTTGTCTTCTATATAAAATTGTTAGCCTTTGCTGAGACCTCTGTTTCTTCACAGGGTTTTCCTTTTTTTTTCTTCCTCCAGATGGCTCTTTTTATTAGTTGGCTTATAATAGGGGCAGGTCAGTTTGCTGGAGATAGAAAAACGTTGAAAAACACAGCAAACAAGACACAAGCTAAATAAGCGGCGATTGCTATCCAAAACCTTGGATCTTTCAGCAGTGCTTTATCAAAGCAGCTAAACACCGTGTAGCCGATGGACATTCCAGCAAATCCACCTGCAATGTGAGCTGCAAAAGACACCTTTGGAGAAAAGGGGGGGAAATGGAAATAAGTGAAGACAATGCTAATTGTGTATTTCAGTGGCATCTCTCTTATTCAAACACAAATACCACCACAGTCAAACAAGGGTCTTAAAGGTCTAGAGAACTAGGGGGTAAGGCAAAAGAGGCACAAAACTTCATATGCACAGAGAGAAGATACTTGGAAACATATAAAGCTTAAAAGTCATTTTTCACCCATTCTCTGAGTACAAAAGACAGAAATTGTTTCTCATTCTTGATCATCATTGCATTTAAAATAATTCTGTATAATGCCAACTAAGAGAACAGTTGAGTTTCCATGAAGGATCTCTGTAGCAGCATAATCTGATCCCACATACATGGGATATCATAATTAAAACAAAAGTAATAATATACACACAAACACCCAAACAGAAACTACCCAATTCAAAGACAAATCCCGGCAAAGCTGGAAATCTTTGTCAATTTTCTTTATTATGCATTTAATTTCCCAAATTTTCATCACTGTTTTCCAATCTGCTTGTTTGTTTTGTTTTTTGAAATGGGGTCTCCGCTCTGTCGCCCACACTGGAGTGCAGTGGCATGATCACAGCTCACTGCAGACTCGACCTCTGGGACTCAAGCAATCCTCCTATCTCAGCTCCCCAAGTAGCTGGGACTACAGGCACATGCCATCATGCCTGGCTAAACCAATCTGCTTTTTATTCTAAGTGGACAGGAAAATCCATTCTCTCCTGTTTTTGAATAGCTACCAATATGGCAGGTGCGGTGAAGAAGAACCAGTGATCAGGGCTATGAGAGAGTTAAGCTGAAGGACAATTCAAAAGTCTGATTTCCTTAAAAATTGTCTTCACTTCCAAATGGAAATATGGCTGTCCTAAATCACAGCGTTGTAACCCCTATTTGGTAACCCTTTTTGACAGTAAACAAATTTCTAGTTTGAAAAAGAAAGAAACTGAACTCACCGGAGACCCATTTTCAGGAACAAAGAACCTTCTATAGAGAGCAAATCCCATGTCCAACACAACTAGAAGGAAAAACACCCTGATGAAGGCTCCGAATCTCCACAATAGTACACCAAATGTTTTTGATTCCCCTCTAATCATAATAATACTAGGTATCGTTTATTGAGACTTACTCTGCCCCAGGTGCTGTTCTAAAAGCTCTTTGAAGTCACTAATCCTCATGATGACCTTATGAAGTAGGAACCATCATTATTCCATTTTATGGATTTATTCATCCAACAAGCATTCATTGTCCTCTATGTGTCAGGCATATTCTAGGTGGTAGAGGCAGCAACGGACAGATCTGACAGCCCTGCCTCGTGGAGCTGACAGTAAAACAGTATGTCAGTGGTGCTAAGTGCTATGGAGAAAATACAAAGAGAGGAAGAAGAACTGAGTATGCCAGATGTTGCATGTGATTTTCAATAGGGATGTCAAGGATGATCTCTCTGAGAATATGACACTGGACAGAGGTAAGGGTACAAGCCATGCTGCTATTCGACACAGAGTGTTTCAGCGAGAGGGAAAAGTCCCTAAGCAGGAATGTGCCTGCTGTGTTTGAGGAATACCAAAGCAGTTGAGCTGGCTGGATCAGTGGTTTTCACAGTGGTTTTTACCAAGACCAGCAGCATCAGCTTCACCTGGAAACTTACTAGAAATGAAAACTCTTAGGCCCACCCCAGACCTATTGAACCAGAAACATTGAGGGTGGAACTCAGCTTTCTATGGAGTTAGGTCTTTTGTTTTTGTTTTCAGAAGGTGAGTTGTACACTCCTTAGCAGATTCCAACTTCCGTGGCTGTGTTTTCTAACCACCAACTGTGGTCAAGTTGTTGTCCCAACAACTTCTTTAACAAGACCTCCAGGTGATTCTGGACTAGAGTTAGGAATAAGGTTGTGGGTGATGAGATCAGACAAGTAGCAGGGGACAGCTTATGTAGGGTCTGCATGAACCATTGTAAGGACTTCAACGTTTAATCTGAGTGATAGGAAGTCATTGAAAGCTCTTGAGCACAGGAGTGACATGATAAATTTTCTCTGTTTCCTTGTTTGAGACAGTCTCAACTCTGTCGCTCAGGCTGGAGTGCAGTAGTGTGATCTTGGCTTACTGCAATCTCTGCCTCCCAGGTTCAAGCGATTCTCAAGCCTCAGCCTCCTGATTAGCTGGGATTACAGGCATGCACCACCACACCTGGCTAGCTTTTGTACTTTTAGTAGAGACAGGGGTTTCACCATGTTGTTCAGGCTGGTCTTGAACTCCTAAACCCCTGACCTCAGATGATCCACCTGCCTCAGCCTCCCAAAGTGCTGGGATTACAGGTCCCCACCATCACGCCCGGCTAATTTTTGTATTTTTAGTAGACACAGTTTCACCATGTGGCCAGGCTGGTCTCCAACTCTCAAACTCCTGACCTCAGGTGATCCACCCACCTTGGCTTCCCGAAGTGCTGGGATTACAGGCTTGAGTGACCACGCTGGTGGTTTTAAAAAGATCATTCTAGCTGCAGTATAGGAAGGAGACTACAAGGAAGCAAGAACAGGAACTGGAAGAGCAGCTGGAAAAGTACTATTGTAACAATCAAAGTGAAGAAGGATGGTGACATTTTATACATAAAGAAGCCAAGACACCAAGGCTCTACTCTCAGCCACCACGCGAATTGCCTGTAATTAATTACCATTGGGAATTGCGAAGGTGTCAGTCCATGAAAGGAAATGATTCCATATTCTCCAATAAAACTGTGAGAGCCAGAAGTTAGGTAGTCTTCAAGTAAGTCAGATCTGTGCTACAAAAGGAGCTTCCAGTTTCTTGGCCTAGAATAACTCTGCCCTATATGTTAGTGCTTGGAAACATCTCTTGCAGATATCACATTCCTCACCCATCCCCTAATTCCCTGTGCTCTACTTAGTGAGCCACTGTGTCCTAGGAGATGAAAAGACCTAGTCCTTGCCTTTGGGAAAATAGCATCAGGACATGTGTTCTGACTAGATTCCCTTTCAATACTGTATTGACTGACGTTGAAGTCACTGGACAGAAATTGAGGTCGAGAAAGTATTCAATATTCCTTTAATTGTAAATGACTATTACACAAAGTGCTAGATTAATGAGGCTATATCATATTTTCAATCATCATTTGGATTTCCTGGTCCACATAAATAACATGCCCATGGGACTAGGAAAGTATTTTTAAAAAACACTGCCTTGGCTGGGCGTGGCAGCTCACACCTGTAATTCCAGCATTTTGTGAGGTGGAGGCAGACGGATCACAAGGTCAGGGGTTTGAGACCAGCCTGGTCAACATGGTGAAACCCCATAATATAAAAGTTAGCTGGGCGTGGTGGCAGGTACCTGCAATCCCAGCTACTCAGGAGGCTGAGGCAGGAGAATCGCTTGAACCCGGGTGGCAGAGGTTACGGTGAGCCGAGATCGCACCTCGCACTGCAGCCTGGGCCACAAGAACGAAACTCCAGCTCAAACAAACAAAAAACTGCCACATAACTGGAAACGTTTACTTTGGTTTAGTCTTCCTCAATTGGAGACCTCCTCTCAGAAAGTCTTTGTAACCATTAGTATGTTAATTTCGCCAACCAGTTTCTCTCCATCTTACCCCCTTCCTAGATCTGACTTTGGCTCTTTCCTCTTTCTGCTTCCTGGGGGACTTTTCTTCCAGGTTACTGCAGCCTCTAAACTGAGACATGTCTTCCCACCTGAAAAGCGGCCCTTATTCCAAGAAGCCAAACCACTGTCCTCATTAAAAATTTGACATTTACTTTAAAAAAGTTCCCTTCATATGGATTTTTTTCTTTTTTTTTAAGACAACCTCACTCTGCCACCCAGCCTAGAGTACAGTGGCTCCCTGCAGCCTCAAGCTCCCAGGCTCAAGCAAATTCTCCCACCTCAGCCGCCTAAGTAGCTGGAACTACAGTCCCACACCACAACACCTGGCCAATTTTTTTTGTAGAGACAGGGTCTCCCTATGTTGCCCAGGCTGGTCTTGAACATAATGCTTGATGAAGGAATGTTTTTTAGGCCAATTGCCATTCACAATTAAAAAGAATATTTACCACTTGGCTGGGAGAGGTGGCTGACGCCTGCAATCCCATCACTTTGGGAGGCTGAGGCGAGAGGATCACCTGAGGTCAGGAGTTCGAGACCAGTCTGACCAATATGGTGAAACCCCATCTCTACTAAAAATACAAAAATTAGCTGGGCCTCATGGCCTGTGCCTATAAACAGGAGAGGCTGAGACAGGAGAATTGCTTGAACCCTAGAGGCAGAGGTTGCAGTGAGCTGAAATCGCGCCACTGCACTCCAGCCTGAGTGACAGAGCAAGACTCAGTCTAAAAAAAAAAAAAAAAAAAGTGAATTATTTTATTTCAGAGTGAAATATTAGTGTTCTTACAATTAAATGGTCAATAAACTAAAGAGTCCCTTGTCAACAGACGTAGTTGCCTCTGTTCCTGTAATGGAGGTAATTGAACCCTTGATACAAATTGCAAAATCCTGTTTTCTTACTATATGGACAGCCAGCATCTTAGGCTTTATCAGGTATAACCTCCACCTTGGCTTTCAGGTCTGACCCCATGGTCTGTCATTCTTCCGCAGCCCTCCAAGTGGAGGAGCTTCAGCTGGAGCAGGTCCGTCAACTCCAGTTACCACCCCCACCTTTGCTCCTGTTTCCTTCTATGCTCCACAGCCTGCTGTCATCTGGAATCTACCTTTACTCTGAGACTCAGCTGCGCTTCCATCCCCTCTCCAGACAGCATTCTTCCTAACCTCCCTTAGCATGTAATTCTAGAATTCTTGGAGATTTCAAAAGCCACATTAGTCACCCTCCTAGCCTGGGCTTCTTGAACAGTTACCCCTCCCCCACCCCAACTCTCTCTTTAATCCTCAGCTGTCACTCAATACCTATATCCTGGATCTGTTTTGTTTTGTTTTGTTTTGTTCTGTTTGTTTTTTGAGATGGAGTCTTGCTCTGTCGCCAGGCTGGAGTGCAGTGGCACAATCTAGGCTCACTGCAACCTCCACCTCCTGGGTTCAAGTGATTCCCCTGCCACAACCTCCCAAGTAACTGGACTACGAGTGCGCACCATCACACCCGACTAGTTTTTGTATTTCAGTAGAGACTGGGCTTCACCATATTGGCCAGGATGGTGTCAATATCCTGACCTCGTGATCCACCCACCTGAGCCTCCCAAAAGTGCTGGGATTACAGGTGTGAGCCACTGCGCCCAGCCAGTTTTGTTTTTTTTTTTTAATCTAAAAATTTAGAAATTGAGGAAGAAAGAGATTCTATCAGTGGTTTCCAAGTTTTTCCATTGCAAACAAAATCACATACAGCTTCTAATATATGAAAAAGTCCAGTATATAAAACCTAAGTGAAGCTATTGTGGTTCCATTAGCGGGGTGCCTGAGGCTCTATGCTCTTGGCTTCCCCTACTCCATAATGATACAAAAAGCAAAAACACATCACATAGGCATGTCTAAGAACCATGAGAGTCTGTAGAACTCTTTTGTTTACTTCTTTCTGCTTAGTGCTGTGAAGCGGACAATTTTTTCTAACTGTAGTCATTCTCCGTGGTAGTGTCTGGGAAAGGAGGAAAGGCCTTCTGAAGGCTAAACCAATAAAATTGTGAAAATATTTTGAAAGTTGATTATGCAAAATAGGTCATTCTTGTCATACCCAACTAAATCAGAGTCAAGGGGACAGGGGACAAAAGCACTCAGGCACATAGCACTGCTCCAACAATTGAATTCTCCATCAGCCCCGCTGCTGAAACTACCTGCTCTAACCATAAGACTAGTTTCACCTAATAGCTGCTGAAACAAATTGAGTCTAAGAATCAGGTCTAAACAACACAAGTCTAAGACTGGTTCTCCCCACCACCATCACTCACCAACCAGCTCCCAAAGGTGTCGCTAGTACCAATGAGCTCTCTTTCAAAATAACATTAACATTTCTCTTTCTAAGGAAACCCCCAGCCTTTTCTTTTGTTCTTCAGACATACCGTAGACCTCCCAGGTCTGAGTGTATGCCCCAAATTGCAATTCTGTGATTTCCAAATAAAATGTTTAGACATTCGTCTCTGCATTTCATTTTGACTTCGACAGTATGACGTGTTCACAAAACACACTTACTGATGAGGATGATGATCAGCAGTCTGAAAATTCCAAAGGCAGGAATCATTTCTCGAAAATTCTTGCAAAGAAATAAATAATAATCATATAAGCTATCAGTGGGCAAATGAAACCTCAACTCTACTCTCTCTTCATCTGCTCTTCATTTGAAATACTCTTCCAGTGTCAAATATTTTCAAAAAAAAGCATGAGTGTCACAGCCAAGTTTTCAAATGTATTTGGGAAGTACAGTGCACTTTGGAGAATAAAATGCCAAGATATTTAATTTCATGATATAAGTGTTGCAATTTTGCTAGCCAGAAATAATCTAAATAAAAGTAATATAAAATCAACACTTAACATGTCAATAAATATATAGAGAAATGCTGTTAAACTAAGTTTGATGAAATATTCCTAAGATTTTTGGTCAATATTCATTTGATATTTCTTCATTCTCTTTCCCAGTAGTATTTAGCAAAGACTTAACTGAGATTTGAGTGTTATCTTGATTTTTTGAAGTAATTTTTAAAATATTGAAAATATTGGTCAAAAATTATTGAAGGGTTTTTTAGAGGGAGGGTGTTGGGGGGGTTCTGTAGGGGGAGGTAGAAGACAGGGTCTCACTGTGTCACCCAGGTTGGAGTGCAGTGGTGCAATCTACAGCTCACTGCAGCCTTGAACTCCTTGGCTCAAGCCCTCCTCCTATCTCAGACTCCTGAGTAGCTGGGACTACAGGTGCACACCAGCACACCTGGCTCATTGCTGGAATTATAGCTTTGGGTCCCTATGTGTCACTACAAACTGCTGAGTCAGACATTTCTACTATAATTTATTGAATTACTTGTTCCTTCCCTTTCAAATTAGTAACTCTTGTCCCAAGGAGTAAAGATGCTGAAATAGACATGTTTATTCAAAATCAATTATTTTCAAACTCTTATGACCATGACCTACAGAAAGAAATAATTTACGTAACAACCCAGTACACACATAAATCAAACAATAACACTGGCTTTTTTTTTTCTTGGGTTTAATTTTTGGCCACAATTCCTCCAAGTAAGTCTACAACCACTAATGGGTTGCAATCCAAAGTTGAAAAAACCACTTTTCTAAGTGATTTCTATATTTGGAATGGTCTTATAATTGCTTTACCCTTTTCTTCCTAGAATTTTTTTTTTTTTTTTTTTTTGAGAACGAGTCTCACTCTATCGCCAGTCTGGAATGCAGTGGCGTTATCTCGGCTCACTGCAACCTCCACCTTCCGGATTCAAGCAATTCTCCTGTCTCAGCCTACTGAGTAGCTGGGATTACAGGTGTGTGCCACGACGGCCAGCTAATTTTTGGATTTTTAGCAGAGCTGGGGTTCCACCATGTTGGCCAGGATGGTCTCAATCTCTTGACCTCGTGATCCGCCCACCTCAGCCTCCCAAAGTGCTGGGATTACAGGCATGAGCCACCTCACCTGGCCTCTTTCTAGAATTTTTTGTTCTGAGATGCAGTTTCACTCTTGTTGCCCAAGCTGGAGTCCAATGGTGCAATCTTGGCTCACTACAACCTCAGCTCACTGCAACCTCCGCCTCCCAGGTTCAAGCAATTCTCCTGTCTCAGCCTCCCAAGTAGCTGGGATTACAGGTGCACACCACCATGCTCAGCTAATTTTTTTATTTTTAGTACAAACAGGGTTTCACCACGTTAGCCAGGCTGAGCTCAAACTCCTGACCTCAGGTGATTCACCCACCTTGGCCTCCCAAAGTGCTGGGATTACAGGCTTGAGCCACTGCACCACCTGGCCCCTAGAATATTTTTAAAGCATACCTATGGTTCCCAGGGGAGGGAAAAAAAAAAAAAAGCATACCTAAATGGCAAAAGGACTAATAACTAGTCAGGATTTTTTAACCTGTTTTTAAAAGTGATTGGCACTCTTACATATTATCAAGGGAGTGCAAGACTATATGATAACTTTGGAGGGCAATTTGGTATGTACTTTTTTTTGAGACAGAGTCTCGCTCTGTTACCCAGACTGGAGTGCAGTGGCTCAGTCTTGGCTCACTACAACCTCCGTCTCCTAGGTTCAAGCAATTCTCCTGCCTCAGCCTCCGAAGTAGCTGGGACTACAGGCACGTGCCACCACGCCTGGCTAATTTTTTGTATTTTAGTAGAGATGGGGTTTCACCATGTTGGCCAGGATGGCCTCCATCTCTTGACCTCATGATCTGCCCGCCTCGGCCTCCCAGAGTGCTGAGATTACAGGCATGAGCCACCATGCCCAGCCTAGAAATTTATCCTACAAAAAGAAAATTACACAAATGCAAAAAGATAAATGTAAAAGAGCATTTCTTATAGCATTACTTCTAAACATGAAAAGCAGGAATCACCCCCCAATTTTTTCAATGAAAGATTCATTAAATAAATCATGGAGTATCTGTATAGATGATGCTAGGGAGCATCTGCTAAGCAGTGAGGATTTCTAAGCAATGACACGGGTAGATGGTCAGGGTGCTCTATGATAAAATGCAGAACAATATAAGGGTGATGTCATTGTTATAATATTAACATTGGTAGGATTTTGAATACATGTAGAAAAGATTGGGGCTGCTCTGCCTATGAAGTAGCCATTCTTTCATTCCTTTACTTTCTTAATAAACTTGCTTTCCTTTAAGAAAACAAAAGATCTGAAAAAACATATATATATAAAACTGTCAACAACCTCTTTCACCACCCACCTGTTAGCAGATATATATTGAGGACCTTAACTTTCTATTCTTTTATTTAAAATGTTACATAGTACTCATCACTTTTGAAATCAGAAAAAAATGATAAAAATATGAAAGGAAGCTAGGTGCGGCGGCTCACGCCTGTAATCCCAGCACTTTGGGAGGCCAGTGTGGGCAGATCACTTGGGCCCTGGAGTTCGAGACCAGCCTGGGCAACATGGCGAAACCCTGACTCTACAAACAATAGTCAGGCATGGCAGCCCATGCCTGTAGTCTCAGCTATTCAGGAGGCTGAGGTGGGAGGATTACTTGAGCCCAGGAGGCAGAAGTGCAATGACTCAGTAACACACCACTGCACTCCAGCCTGGGCAATGGTGCAATACTCTGTCTCAAAAAAAAATTAAGAAAGAAAAGAAAGGGGCCCCACGCAGTGGCTCATGCCTGTAATCCCAATACTTTGGGAGTCTGAGGCAGGCAGATCATGAGGTCAGGAGTTGGAGTCCAGCCTGACCAACATGGTGAAACTCTGTCTCTACTAAAAATACAAAAATTAGCTGGGCATGGTGGCACACGCCTGTAGTCCCAGCTACTCACGAGGCTGAGGCAGGAGAATCTCTTGAACATGGGAGGCAGAGGTTGCAGTGAGCCGAGACTGCACCACTGCACTCCAGCCTGGGTGACAGAGTAAGACTCCATCTCATAAAAAAAAAAAGAAAAGGAAATAAAATGGTATTGCCATAGAATTATCAGAAAAATGAGTGTTCAGTAAATATTGATAAATGAAGATTCATTGAACCAAAGAACAGTTACTGTTTTCTGTTTTTTTAAGAGACCCATGGACTCCATCCCCCTGGTTCTTACCACCAGAACATTCATAAAATAGCCTCCCATCAGAGCATAGACTCCTCCTGAAGCTCCCACGAGGTATCTGAGTGGGTCAAAGATGGAGCTGGCAAGGGACCCTAAAGAAATAAAACACAAAGGATCAGACATGACTATAGGGATCAGAAAAGATAAATCTTTCTAATCTAAGGTAGACATTTGGGAGTTTGGTCTCTTATCATATTAGCAAGCAACAGATCTATTTTGCCCGTTTCATATAGCTGTATATGCTAACTACCACAGTGTTTCTGAAAACATTGAATGTTCATTAGAACAGCTACATAACAGTGACAATGACAGAACTGTCTGGAGCCAGAACTACCAGCAGTATGACTTGAGGAAGCTACTTAACTCCTCTGTGTCTGTTTCCCTACCTGCAAAATCAGGCTATTAATAGAACTTAATTCAATGGATTTTCAGGGTTAGTAAATGCATTGATGTGTGTTCGTGCTTATAACACTGCCTGCCGTGTATTATATATTTGTTAGCTATTAGGTTGGTGCAAAAGTAATTGTGGTTTTGCCATTACTTTTTAGGGCAAAAACTGCAATTATTTTTGCATCAACCTAATATTATTATAAAATATCCTACGTTTAGTCAAAATACCTGAGACAATCCAATACTTTATCTAATGGCTATCTTTCTCAATGAGCCATAATGTGGCCTCAGAATCCTTCTCAACATACTATCTAGTCAGATTCCCCAAGAAAGATGAATCCTGTTTACTAACCTAATCCTAGATTTACTGGACCAAAACAAGGCTTTACAAACCACCTTACGCTAGGACTAAAATATTCATCTATACCACTTAGTTCTAGTACTTGGTCTATTCCTTTCAAGGCCCTCCTTCATTTCCTTAGTGTATAATACAATACAATACCTACTTTGTGCAAGAAAAAGTCTCAGTCCTTAGTAATTTTACAAAAAGGTGGGCAAACAACTATTATAAATGCAGAATATAACAACTACTATGACAAAAATAAATTCACTGTAGAAGTACTTAGGAAGGAGTGATTTTCTCAACAGAAGGGTGGACTCCCTGCTACTCTGAGGAGGAGGAGACAGCATTTTGATTAAACTTTGAAGAATCTTCAAGATTGGCCAGACATGGTGGCTCACTCCTGTAATCCCAGCACTTTCTGAGGCTCAGGCAGGAGGATTGCTTGAGGCCAGGAAGCCAAGAGCCTGAGATCAACCTGGTCCACAGAGTGAGACCTGTCTCCAAAAATATAAGAAAAATATTAGCCAAGCATGGTGGTACACGCCTGTGGTCTTACCTACTCAAGAGGCTGAGGTGGTAGGATCACTTGAGCCCAGGAGTTTGAGGCTGCAGTGAGCTATGATCATGCCGCTGCATTCCAGCCTGGGTGACAGAGCAAGACCTCCCCACCTCCTTTCCACCCCCACATACAAAAGGATTGGATAAGAAAAACAAAAGAGAGGAAGGTATTCAGGACTTAGAGAACTGGAAGAGCAATGGCATGGAAAAAGGTATATGGATAACTGAAGATCAGTGAGAAGTAGTCCAGTAGGCTGAGCACGGTGGCTCATGCCTGTAATCCTAGCACTTTGGGAGGCCAAGGCAGGTGAATTGCCTGAGCTCAGGAGTTCAAGACCAGCCTGAGCAACATGGTGAAACCCCGTCTCTACTAAAAATACAAAAATTAGCCAGGAATGGTGGCAGGTACCTGTAATCCCAACTACTGGGGAGGCTGAGGCAGGAGAATCACTTGAACCCAGGAGGCAAAGGTTGCAGTGAGCTGAGATCATGCCACTACACTCCAGCCTGGGTGACAAGAGTGAGACTCCATCTCAAAAACAATAAAAAAATAAAAAATACAAAAAATTAGCCAGGCGTGGTGGTGTGTGCCTGTAATCCCAACTACTGGGGAGGCTGAGGCACAAAAATCACTTGAACCCAGAAGGCAGAGATTGCAGTGAGCCAAGATCGCACCATTGCACTCCACCCAGGTGACAGAACGAGACTCTGTCTCAAAAGAAAAGAAGTAGTCCAGAGCAACTTAGAGCATCAATTCTCAAATGCTAATCTATAGCCTAGGGCTGAGGTGATTGTATCATAATCATATGATAAACTTATTTTTAAAATAGATACAAATGTCTACTTCTGACCATGATAAGGTAACAAGAAAAGGATTTGCTGTCTCACGTGAAAAAGCCAAAAGCACTGGACGATATATATGAAAGAATGGTCTTCAAGACACTAGACATCCGAAAACAAAACCAGTAAACCACTTAGAGACAGGGAATCAGTTATAAATAGATTGAATCAGTTATCAATGGAGTTATCTGATTGCCAACATACTACCTTGAGGGAGATTACAGAATACAATGCATGAAGGGGGAACCCAGGCAGGTCTCAGCAAACTTTAAGTTGATGAGTTGAAGTTTAGAGTCCAGCTAGATCTGGACCGCTAGAGTTTATAAGACAGGGTACCAGAGAATAGACTGCTGCACACAGAACACTCCAGAAAGGAGCATGGGAGGAAATTGCCCAAGCCAAGGAGAGAACCACCAAAAATGAAATGGGAAGACTACCTGTTGCTTACACAGCACCAGAGAGCCTAAGTAACATTCTGTTCTGGAAAACTCTTTTGTTTCCACACATCATAAGTCTGGGCATTTATTACACGTAAGTTACACCTCAATCTTAAAATGTATCAGTACAAAACCACACACTGCAGAGGGGCAGGGCTCCACCACCACTTACTCACTTTCCTTGAAACAGAAGCTCAAGTATGAAGTAGTCTTCTGTAACTAAGCTTATTTCTCCTCCTTTCTGACTTCTGGGAATGATCCTTGCTCTGAATGGGATTTGAGGTAATGTAGGAAACTGCTCTCAATACATAATTTTTTTTTTTGAGACAGAGTTTTGCCCATGCTGGAGCACAGTGCCGCAATCTCAGCTCAGCCTCCTGAGTCGCTGGGACTATAGACACATACCACCACGCCTGGCTAATTTTTTTTTTTTTTTTAAGCAGAGATGGCGTTTCACCATATTAGCCAAGATGGTCTCAATCTCCTGACCTCGTGATCCGCCCACCTCAGCCTCTGAAAGTGCTGATCAGAGGCATGAGCCACTGCACCCAGCCTCAATACAGAATTTTTAAGTTGGTGAAGAAATTGGAAAGAAGGGAAATCACAGTAGGAAAATCAAATGTGATTGGGATGAAGTTAGTATGCAAAGGAAGTGCCGCAAGGCCCAGGCACCCCCAGAGAAGGGACTCAGACAGCAGACTCTGGCCCTTCCAGTTCTCCTCTGGGTCTACCCCAGTCCTGCAAGCTCATGGCCAGGGTGATAATGACGGGGGCAACACCACAGTCCTCACTGTCCTTCCTAGGGAAGGACGGCCCTACAGACTGATAAGCCAAATCCAGGGCCACCCTCCGCTGCTTATCTGCCCTGCGACTTTTCTCTAGGTCCTCTCCTCCAAGCAATGTGGGAGTGTGTACTGGAAAACTCTGTAATTAATGGGGCACTGCTTCGAGTACACAAAAGGGTGCAGTCATGGGAATAATTAGCACCTTGCCAAAAAGAATTAAACTGCTTTCAAGTAATATAACTAAGTTACAGAACAAATCTAAAAAGTATTTATGGCTGGGCACGGTGGCTCATGCCTGTAATCCCAGCACTTTGGAAAGCCAAGGCAAGCAAATCACTTGAGGTCAGGAGTTCGAGACCAGCCCGGCCAACATGGTGAAACCCCATCTCTACTAAAATACAAAAAATTAGCCGGGCATGGTGGCACTCGCCTGTGATCCCAGCTACCAGGGAGGCTGAGGCAGAATTGCTTGAACCCAGGTGGCGGGGGTTTCAGTGAGCCGACATCACACCATTGCACTCCAGCCTGGGTGACAGAGCGAGAATCTAAAAAAAAAAAAAAAAAAAAAAAAAAAAAAAAAAAAAAAGACTTAATACTTTGCCTAAAATTAAAGGAACAGGAACTTCTGGTGGAGATGTAAAATGGTATCACTTTGCTACCATATGACCTAACAATTCCATTCCTAGGTATATACCCAAGAGAAATGAAACCATATATCCACAAGAAATCTTGTAAACAAAAAAATCTTTTTTAAAAGATCTTGTACACAAATGTTCATACCTCTGTTATAAATCATAGCCAAAAAGCAGAAACAACCCAAATGTCCATCAACTGACAAATGGATTAAGAAAATGTCATCTATCTACAAAGTGGAATATCGTCTAGCCATACAAAGGAATAAAGTATGAAACATGCCACAATGTGGATGAACATTGAACACATTATGCTAAGTGAAAAAAGCCAGTCGCAAAAGACCACATTATGATTCCATTTACATGAACTGTCCAGACTGGGCAAATCTATAGAGACAGAGGTAGGTCAGGGGCTGCCTAGAACTGGAGCAGGGTTGTAGGGTGTGGAATGGGAGATGACTGTTAATGGATACACTGTTTCTCTGGAGGATAAAAATATCCTAAAATTAGATTGTGACCATGGGTGCACAACTTTGTAAATCAAGTAAAAAATTGAATTCTACACTTTAAATGGGTGTGTTGTATATCTGATTATATCTCAGTGAAGCTGTCAAAAAAGTTTGTCGGTTTCTTAAAAGTTAAACATACTCTACCATTGGATCAAGCCATTCCATTAATAGGTATTTTCCCAAGAGAAACAAAAACATTTGTCCACACAAGGACTTGTACACAAATGTTCATAGCAGCTTCATTTGTAACAGCCTCCAACTGGAAACAACCCAAATTTCTACCACTGGGAGAATGGATAAATACGGTATATCCCCACAATCAAATACTACTCAGCAATTAAATGAATCAACTCTTGATACACATCACAACATGGATGCATCTCAAAATAATTATTCTGAGTGAAAGAAACCCAGATAATAAAGAGTACATACTCTACTTATATAAAATTCTGGAAAATACGAACTAATCTATAATGACAAAAAATAGATCGATAGTTGAGGGGGGAAGGTTGTGGAGGGTAGGAGATGGAGGATTTCCAAAGGGTCACAAGGAAACTTTTTTGGGGGTCAAGGATTATGATGTTACAGTTTCATGGTT